AGCCTTATCATCGCGAATATTTGTCGCCACAAACTGGTCATTAAAGTCTTATTTTCTATTAAAAACAGTTCCAGAAAGGCTTGATTGCGAAAATTTAATCGTTGCGAACTAGTTTACTCCCGGTACATTGCGAAATAAGGTCGTCGCAAATAAAAGTTGGTTTACAGTACTTTTGGATATAAACTTTTCAATAATAAACCAATAAACCTACTTTTTCCTAGCCACAGTGCTCAGGCAAGCTGTTTCCGAGAACTTGCGTGCACAAAATCGGTAAGAAAAAAAAAAGAAAAAAACTGTGGAAAAGAAACCTAAGAATAACAGAATGGTCTTCCATTGGAAACGGAAGACCTTAATAATAATAATAAGAAACAGAGTAAAAACAATATGTTCCCCAACTTCTTTTGGGGAACATAATAATAATAATAAATAGAAACTCTTGTTGCTACAGCAACAAAGACGGTCTTCCGTTCTCCTCTATTTATCTGTATGAATGAGCTTTTATCTATGTTAAAATGGCATATAATATTGAAAATGATTACAGAAAAACAAACGACCGGAGGTGTTACTTACCAAGATTCTCGACGTTACTTTAGACATATATAGTCTTTATAACATTTATAAAAATCATTTTCAATTTTTTTTCATCAATTCCTGTGAGGACCGGAAGTGACTGCAGACGCATTTTACCCTATATCTTTTGACTATTCTTCATGGTTTATTACTTGCATAAGTTAAGTGTCTTGATCTGTTACAATTTAAGAGATCTCGTAATGTTGACAAGAAATGACGTGACCGGAAGTCAATTTTTAAATGATATTTGACGCTACTCTATATTTTGTCTGAATTACATGTCCTAAAATCATTTAAAATACTCTTTTTATAAAAGATATTAATGGGATAGTATGATACTAAATTTATGCTGTTTTTCTCTCATAACCCGGAAGTTGCCGTTTTTGTTTCTGGTGGGACTGACATATTTCAAAACTACAAATAAGATGCCATAATGTATTAACAAGAAAGATTCCATAAAGAAAAGTTGAAATTTGAGATTTTTTGATCACTTTCTGTGACAACTGGAAGTGACAGCAGACGACAATCCTATCCCCAAAGGTTTTGCATACTCATCAAGATCTACCAATCCTGTAAATTTGGTATCTTAATCTCTTACCGTTTACGAGATCTAGCTATGATAACTTCTCAGTTTGAGGACAGGAAATCACGGGACCGGAAGTGAATTAAAAAAAAAGAAGTTATTTGACATTACTGAAGACATTTGCAGTTTAAATAATATATTCAAAAATCATTACAAAAACTTTATCGATAAAAAATGTTTATGGGAATGAAAAATACTAAAATTATGTAGTTTTTCTCTTAAAACCAGAAGTCGTCGTTTTTGTTTCTGGTGGGACTGATATATTTTAAAACTACAAATAAGATGCTATAATGTGATGCAAAAAAGTTTCATAAAAGAAAAGTTGAAATTTTCGATCTCTTTGATCACTTCCTGTGACGACCGGTAGTAACAGCGAACTATGTTAATCCAAATTGTTTTGCCTACTCATCAAGATCTACCACTTGTATAAGTTTTGTGTCTTAATCTCTTACCGTTTACAAGATCTAGCTATGATAACTTCTCAGTTTGAGGACAGGAAATCACGCGACCGGAAGTGGATTTTAAAAATATATATATATGAGGTTACTGTAGATATTTCCAGTCTAAATAACATATCTTAAAATAATGACAAATACTTTATGATAAAAAATATTTATGGGAAAGAAAAAGACTCAAATTATGTAGTTTTTCCCCTTAAAACTGGAAGTTGTCGTTTTTGTTTCCGGTGGGTTTGATATATTTCGAAACTACAAATAAGATGCTATAATGTGATACAAAATAATTATCATAAAAGAAAAAATTGAAATTTTCGATTTTTTAGATCACTTCCTTTGACGACCGTAAGTGACGGCGGACAATCTTAACCCAAATGGTTTTACCTACTTATCAAGATCTATTACTCATATAGTTTCATGTCATCTCTACCGTTCTGAGATATGACTCGGACAATACTTTTTTTGAAAAAAGCAGAAATCGGACATCTCAGTATTACGATGTAAAAATTCTGTCAAAATTTTTTTCACTGGATTCAGTGAACTTAATGAGACGCTAAAAAACTGAAAACTGCATTTGATTAGTGACGCTTGATTGCATATTTTAACTCTCTTAAAGTTAACATCCTTCTGAAAATTTCATGAAAATTAATTTAATAAATAAAAGCCGTCCAGTCATCTCTGAGAAATCGTCAAAAGAAAAAGGGAAAAAAATAATAAGAAGAAAAAACAGTGGAATCACTATAAGGTCTTCCGTCTGAAACGGAAGACCTTAATAAGAAACAGAGTAAAAACAATATGTTCCCCAACTTCGTTTTTTCCAATATTACCTAGAAATTTAACCAAATTTAGCATAAAGCATTTATGGGCGAAGGGGAACAAAAATTATGAATTTTATGGTCCCTGCCCCCCTGGGGCCTGAGGGGTGGGACCAAAACTACTAAAATTAATGCAATCTTTAAAAATCTTCTTCTTTACTCCTGGACATCAAGCATTCAAACTGTTTGCATGATTGTAATCAGCATTGAGTTCTCTTCCAAAATTGTGAGATACATGGCCCTGGGGTCAGGGGTTCTTAGGTTCTAGGGTGGGGCTATATAGATTATGTACTAAAAATGCATTATTTCTTTGAAAATCTTCTTCGCTGCTCCTGAGCATTATATAGACTAAATAAATACATAGTTATGTTGAGTAAGGCTGCCTCTTCCGAAATTATGAATTTCATGGCCCCAGGGTCAGGGGTTCTTAGGTGCTAGGGCAGGGCTAAATAGATTACATAGTAAAAATGCAATCTTTCTCTGAAAATCTTCTTCTTTGCTCCTGGGCATTAAATAAACTAGATAAGTACATAGTTCTGTTGAATAAGGCTGCTGCTTCCAAAATTGTGAATTTCATGGCCCCAAGATCAGGGGTTCTTAGGTGCTAGGGCGGGGCTATATAGATTTTAAAGTGAAAATACATTAATTCTTTAAATATCTTCTTTTCTGCTCCTGAGTATTAATCCGATGAACTATGTACATAGTTATGATGAGGAAGGATGCCTCTTCCAGATTTGTGAATTTCAGGGCCCCAGGATTAGGGGTTTTGGTCTTAGGGCAGAGCTCTAATGGTTATATAGTGAAAATGCATGAATTCTTCGAAAACCTTTTCTTTGCTCCTGGGTATTATCACAATGTTCTAAGTACATATTAATAATGATGAAAGGTGCCCCTTCCAAAATAGTTAATTTCAGGGCCCCTGGGTTAGGGGTACTTGGGGTGGGGGTACATAGTCTGAAAATAAATTAATGCTTTGAAATCTGCTTTTTGGTATTAATCAACCATTTATGATGAAATAAAATTTATAATAAAACTTCCAGAATTTCGAAATATGTGGTCAGAGGTTCCTGTGGGGTGGGGTGCACAACTGGTTATTAAGTGGAAATGCATTTTCGCTTTGTTACTCTGATCTACCTCCGGGTATTAAGTAACCAAAGTAAGCAAGCTAAGTGTATAGTTATGATAAGCAATGGTACCTCTTTCAAAATTTTGAATTTCATGGCCTTTGATTTAAACGCGAACCAATTCAATTGTTGGAAAGTTGTTACATGATACACAGGTGACCTTTAAGGCCCCTGGGCCTCTTGTTCATTTTTGGAATGACCTTGACCTTTGATCTTTGGATAAATTTTAAGGTCAAAGGTCAATGAATATTACACAGTTGGTTCCATGTCTCTACAACTTCTCGTTTTGAAAATTTTTAATTATTTGTAAAATTCAAAAACCTTCAGGGGCAATAACTCATTGAAGGGGTTTACGAATCCCCATGTTCCCCATACAAACAAATATGCGTGTAAGATATCGATAATAGATATAATCTTGTTTTTGTACGAATTCTTCATCAAAATTTTATTTTCAAACGTTTTGTAGATTTTACACGAAATATTTAAGGAAAAGAAGGTATCTTTTAAAAGGACATAACTCTCAAACCCGATACATGCAAATCAGGTATTTGAAAAATAATTAGAAACATTTCATTGACATCAGCGATTTAGAACTCTATTCTTTCAATACATTTGAAAGACATTTTTTAAAGTGCCTTTATCGACCAAATTTCTTCAAATGTTTATTTCAAAACAGTGTTTCAGACTTTCTGCAGAACTGTGTATTTTCAGGAAAAAGTTGTCTCCTCGTCACTTCCATTCACTAAGCAAAAACGCTGACTGTAGCCCGACATCCTTGTGGAAAACTGACCATAACGACTGTTAAAGTGCTTAAACCATAATGAAAGTTGGTGGTCAATGAAAAGAATATTCAATCTACAGTATGAGTTGTTGATTTAAGGGCTATGTTTAGATTTATGAGACTATTCAACCAAAATTCTTGGCAGTGCCTCTCGGTTTGCAGACAAAGTTGGAAACCTTGTGAATTTATATATAGAGAGTGGGGTAGAAATTTTTATAAAATATTAGTTTAAGGAAATTTTCTGAATTGATAGTATAGATTATATCACAAATGTGTCATCCATATATAATTTATGTGAAAAAAGTCTAACAGGCCAGGGGGTATATATTAGGGGGGGGGGTGTCCTGTCCTCAAGCACCTCTGTGATTAGCAAATGCCCTTCTTCCAGAATTTTGAATTTTATGGCCCCTGGGTCAGGTGTACGATAGAGGGCAGAGGGGGGCTCTACTTTTATACTGAAAATGAATTAATTGTTTAAAATTGCTCCTTGGTATTAATCAAACATTTTTGATAAGCAAGGGTTCCTTTTCCAATATTGTGAAATGTGTTGACATAGGGTCAGGGGTTCATGTGTGGTAGGTTACTACTGATTATTGCTGAATATTACTGATTAGTTGAAATGCATTTTTTGTTTCCCTACCCTGACTATGGGTATTAAGTAACCAAACTAAGCAATTGCTAAGTGTAAAGTAATGATGAGCAATGGTGCCTCTTTCAATATTGTGAATGCGATTTTGTCTAGTTTAAAACATGAACCAAATTCAATCATTGGAAAGTTCTTGCATTATTCTCAGGTGACCTATAAGGCCCATTGGTCTCTCGTTATTTTTTAGGAAGCTCATCATTATGTTATCATGGAAACCCAGTTATTGCAGAAAGGGAAAGAAGCACAGTCAGCAACTGCCAAGGCCAACAAGGAGAAAAGGAAGCAAGAGATTGGAGGATTTTTCAAATTTGTAGTGAAACAGGCAGAAAAAAGTAAGAGAGACAATAATTCTAAAATGTCTTTTGTATGCTTGTCAAATGAAATGTTTGATTGCATTATATTGAAACAGTATCCATTCCAGGCTATCCATAAAAAATTGTTTGTTTGGAATAAATTAAAATTTTTTAGCTCACCTGAGCCAAAGGCTCAAGTGAGCTTTTCTGATCACATTTTGTCCATCGTCCGTCAGTCTGTCTGTCTGTTCGTCTCTCTGTCTGTAAACTTTTCACATTTTCAACTTCTTCTCAAGAACCACTGGGCCAATTTTGACCAAACTTGGTACAAAGCATCCTTGGGTGAAGGGGAATTTAAATTGTTAAAATAAAGGGCCAAGTCCCCTCACAAGGGGAGATAATCAAGAAAAGACAAAAATAGGGTGGGGTCATTAAAAAATCTTCTTCTCAAGAACCACTGGGCCAGAAAAGCTGAAACTTATATGGAAGCATCCTGGTACAGTGTAGTTTCTAAATTGTTCAAATCATGACCCCCGGGGGAAGGGCGGGGCCACAATGGGGAATTAAAGTTTTACATAGGAATATATAGGAAAAATCTTTGAAAATCTTCTTCTCAAGAACCACTGGCCCAGAGAAGATGAAACTTATGTGGAAGCATCCTGGGGTAGTGTAGATTCTAAATTGTTCAAATCATGACCCCCCGGGGGAAGGGAGGGGCCACAATAGGGAATCAAAGTTTTACGTAGGAATATATAGGAAAAATCTTTGAAAATCTTCTCAAGAACCACTGGGCCAGAAAAGCTGAAACTTATGTGGAAGCATCCTGGGATAGTGTAGATTCTAAATTGTTCAAATCATGACCCCTGGGGGAAGGGCGGGGCCACAATGGGGAATCAAAGTTTTACATAGAAATATATAGGAAAAATCTTTAAAAATCTTCTTCTCAGGAACCACTTGGCCAGAAAAGCTGAAAGTTATATGGAAGCATCCTGGTATAGTGTAGATTCTAAATTGTTCAAATCATGACCCCCGGGGGAAGGGAGGGGCCACAATAGGGAATCAAAGTTTTACGTAGGAATATATAGGAAAAATCTTTGAAAGTCTTCAAGAACCACTGGGCCAGGAAAAGCTGAAACTTATGTGGAAGCATCCTGGAGTAGTGTAGATTTTAAATTGTTCAAATCATGACCTCTGGGGGAAGGGAGGGGCCACAATGGGGAATCAAAGTTTTACATAGAAATATATAGGAAAAATCTTTGAAAATCTTCTTCTTAAGAACCACTGTGCCAGAAAAGTTGAAACTTATGTGCACATGGAAGGATCCTGGGGTAGTGTAGATTTCAAAATGTCTAAATTATGATCAGTGGGGTAGGGTGGGGATGCATTATGTATTACAAGGAGGAAATCTGGTAAAGAACAGAATGGTCAAAGCTTCTCAGGTGAGCGATGTGGCCCATGGGCCTCTTGTTATTAAAAATCTCAACAAACTGTAAAAAGCGCATTTTGTGACTCTTTTGGAGGAAAAAAGAATCTACCATCAACAAAGAATCCTGATTTTGCACAAATCTTGCACTACATAAGTGTTTTGTGTGTTGCATGTTCCAACAGGCCAAGAATTGATTAAATAAAAAAAAATATGTATCTTTTAACTTTTGCTAAATAAAATTTTTCAGGAGGGGCATTTTAATGAGGTGGGAGCAATTCCAAACAAACAATAATTTTATTTTGGACCCATGATTTATGTTCATATGAATGCATTGACAGGGGGACCAAAATTAAAGGCAGTCCAGTTAATAAAACAGATATTAGAGGTAATGAGGGATGGATTTATGCTGTCTGCATATGGTTTGGACTACAGCAATATACTGTTGAAAAATGTTTTGACAGTCAGAAAGTATTGTACAGAAATCACAGAGAAGACTTGGCATGGTAGTAAAGTTATCAAAATTAAATTGATATTGTTGCATAAAATACTTTTGATTATTGTTGGCTCACCTGAGCCGAAGGCTCAAGTGAGCTTTTCTGATCAAAATTTGTCCATTGTCTGTTTTTGATGTTGTCATCGTTGTTGTGATCGTTGTAGACTTTTCACATTTTCATCTTCTTCAATTAAGCTGCAAGAAAAGACTGCACATTATATATATGCCAGAAAAGGTTGTATCTACTGTTTCGTTTCCGTGTAAGTCGAGGTCAAGCCACTCTTATTTTTAGCTCAAACTTGTAAACAACATTCAACCAGAACATGCAAAGGTGAAAAAATGTTCTAACAACTTTTTGAAAAGATTTCATCAAAATTTTTGGTCTACTTACGTTCATTCTATGTACTTGAGACCATGGTTACTATGGAAACCTATTTAACTTTTTTCTGCATGGATACAATGGGGAGGAAGAAGTATTGAGGAATATTTTCGATATGGGGCATACTGAAATTATTTTTACTTTTATTTTTCTCCTTAAATTTAGAATTTTTAGGTTCTGAAACCTGTAATTTTCTGAAACCTATTACTTTTAGGAATTGAACAAAATTTTATCTGGTCATGCAAAAATTCTAATTTGTCAATTTTCCTGGCTCCTTTGTGCACCATGGAGTCTCTTTAATTTAATCATGTAAAAACTACACCATTTCTCAATAAAAACTACACCATTTCTCAAACAACAACAATTTGTAAACTGAAGATACATGAATTTCTGTAAAAAATAAGAGGTCAATATACAGAAATTTCAAACCACCCATGTATTGTAAGTAGAAGTAAGAAGTTTGTTGATAAGGTTGAATTCTTTTAAAAATGGTTCAGCTTACTATTTAAGTTTATCTATGAAAAAAATATACCGTAATTTATTAATATGCTGAGTTGAATGGGAAAAAAATTATTTCAGACTTGATTACTGTGTACTGTAAATTGTTTGGGGACCCAGATTGTGGTTTGGATACAATCTTGCTATCCAGGATCATTCGGTTGCTGATTTCCGCTGCTACTGTGCGCTGTCAACTCAGACCTAAGAAATTCCTGTCATTCTTCACAGAAGTCTTCATGGACATCAGGTATTTTCTTCCTTTACTTGTCATCACCATCATCACATCACTATCGCTACCATCATCATCACCAATATCATTTGTTTCAACTTTCAAGATAATCTTTTGTCCCCTCGCTTAATTTCACTGAAAGTGGGGGATCAATGTAATTAGGAAATAAACAACAATGTTAAAAAGTTCTCTGGGAAATAAACTTTTAGTTGGTCACGTGATCAAATCAAATCAAATTTGATCACATACCAAACTAAAAGTTCATTTCTCTGTGAACTTTTTAACACTTTTGTTTATTACTTATATTTACATTTGAGACGAATAAATTCCGAGTGAAACTGCATTTATTACACGAACAGGCGTTCGGATTGCTTTGTTGTGACACAATGACGTTGGGGACCAAGAAGTTGTTTGGTCTTGAAATTTTGATTCGCTCCAACAATTGAATATTTACAATGATGTTCAGCAGTCCAGTTCAGCAATTCTTTGTTTATAATGTAAGAACAATGATTCCTACTGAGAATAATCTTACTATTTAAAGGGTAATGGAAATGGGTGGCAATTCTTTTATATGCTTTAGAACGTGGCGAAATAAAACCAACAAAAAAAACCGCATCGAAATCGATGCACGATTAACGGAGTTATTGCCCAATGAAAGCGTCTATTTTTACCTGTTATGAAAATCCAATCAAGCAAAAATAGAATTGATCAAAAACGAGGCTATATCACTGTGACGTCACTACATGGACAGATTAGGCGGATTAGTATGGATTACAACGAGATTAGTTCCGACAACAATGACAATATCAGCCTTGATATGTCAGGTGGGTCTTCAATATTTGATGAACCAGATGGATTGGGTGTCGAGCTTGGTATAAGACCTTACCAGTTTGAACCAGAAGCCGATTCTGACGAGGAATTGGTAGTTGAAAACAACGCACAGCCCAGCGAAGACGAGCGCTTGGGGAATAATGACCGGTTAGAAAATGGCATTTTATCAATTAAATTGCTTAATATGACAGATGTAGTTCAACATTCAGACTTAATGACTATATAAGGCAACATAAATTCATTAAATTGCGTAATTTATTCAGGGTATGGCTGAACCATGAACATTTTCTGCTGAAAAGTGATTGCCTTTAAGGCTTCATACTTTTGCCTTCTTGTTTGATTACTGGCAAATCTGTTACCAAAAAGCACATTCAATATAGGATCATGATAACCCTCCTATAAATTATGATGGCTAAATTTTAGGTAAATATTTTGTTATTATCTTTATTTAATATTGGACCTATGTAGATGTAAGCATATCTTAGCTGAGTTTTCTCAGGATTTGAGATTGAACTTGAGTAAAAACTTAAGATTTTTGAGAAATCCAAGCAAGGTAGTGCAAATTCAAGTTTGTTCAAATCAATCCCCAGGGGTAGGGTGGGGCCAATGTCCGATCAAAGTTTTACATAGGAGTATATAGGAAAAATCTTTAAAAATCTTCTCAAGAACCACTGGCCCAGGAAAGATGAAACTCATGTGGAATCATCCTCAGGTAGTGTAAATTCAAGTCTGTTCAAATCATGGCCCCTGGGGCTAGGGTGGAGCCAAAATGGCCGATCAAAGTTTTACATAGGAATATATAGAAAAAATCTTTAAAAATCTTCTTCTCAAGAACCACTGGGCCAGGAAAGATGAAACTCATGTGGAAACTTCCTCAGGTAGTGTAAATTCAAGTTTGTTCAAATCATGACCCCTGGGGGTAGGGAGGGCCAGAATGGCCGATCAAAGTTTTACATAGGAGTATATAGGAAAACTCTTAAAAAATCTTCTCAAGAACCACTGGACCAGGAAAGATGAAACTCATGTGGAATCCTCCTCAGATAGTGTTATTTCAAGTTTGTTCAAATCATGACCCCTGGGGGTAGGGATTAGCCAATACGGCCGATCAAAGTTTTACATAGGAGTATATAGGAAAAATCTTTAAAAATCTTCTTCTCAAGAACCATTGAGCCAGGAAAGATGAAACTCATGTGAAATTATTTTCAGGTAGTGTAGATTCAATTTCGTTCAAATCTTGACCCCTGGGGCTAGGGTTGGGCCAAAATGACCGACCAAATTTTTACATTGGAATATATAGTGAAATCTTTTTAAATCTTCTTTTCAAGTACTTCAAAGCCATGATAAGTAATATTTATATGGAATTATCCTCAGGTAGTGTAGATTCTAGTTCGTTCATATCATGATCCCCTGGGGTGTTGAAATTCAAGCCCCCCCCCCCCCCAACCTCAGTAAACTTTTAGTTCTGATATGATATGCGCTTTTTCCTAGTCGCAGTGCTCAGTGAGCGCTGTGGCCCCTGGGTCTCTTGTTTTGAAGTTCACTTAGTTCTGCAAGCGGCATGTCGTCTGTGAAGTCGTCATCTTCGTCTTCATTGTCTGATGTCTGTTGATCATTCGTTTGTGATTTAGAGAAGCCGGCCTTCCGGAGCAATTTTCAACACATTGAGACAATATCATGCACCATGATTTGTAGAGCCATTTAATGGCATTTTTATGTTCCCCAAAGGGAGTTTGGGAACATATTGTTTTTACTCTGTTTCATATTATTAAGGTCTTCTGTCTCCAACGGAAGACCTTATTGTTTTCGTTCGGTTTCTTTTTCCCTATTATTATTATTTTTTTTTACCGATTTTTGCATGCGATTTCTCGAAAACAGCTCTCCCGATTTTCACCAAACTTTCAGATCTGATAGATATTCATCTGAACCTTGTCGGAAATTTTCGTCGTTGATGACGTCACTTCTGGTCGTGAGATATGGACGATTTTCTGATTTTTAGAGGGTCGGCTTGTCCTGAGATCTCCTCCTAAACGACTTAAGATATCGACTTGAGATTTTCAGTGAAGGTAGAGGAAGGATAGTAGATGTGACATTTTGCATATAGACCTTTCCAGGTAAAAAGGCATCGACGCTCACCTGGACTGGAAAAATAGGCTCATACGCATCTCGCAAAAATTGATACGTTTTCCTTTATATCTTTTTACTTGTTAATATTTTGTTAAGACATATATAATAAAAGATGTGCAATATAGTAAGACCTTTCATTTGATATCAAGAAAATGGGGTTAGCCCTTCAAATTAGGGGCATAGAGGGGCCAAAAGTCTCTCGTCTTTAACTCTTTAATGAATAATATTTTGTGATACATTATTGAAGCAAAGATATTTAACTTAACGATTTGCAACAAAATATACTAAAAATTTGATCATATGTTACGTAATAAAGGGTCACAGGGGGCTAGAATGCTAAATCTGTGACGCCTTATATCTCGAAAAGCGTGAATATTTTGATGAGCAGTATTGAACAAAAGATGGTCAAAATAATGTTCCCAACAATATGCATACTTTTAATTTTTTCATTTTTTCCGTCGACACTTCCGTTGTAAACCGGAAGTACGTGTAGTTTAAATACATGTATAGTGATTTTTAAAAAATTTTCTAATGAATGTAATTGTTCATTATAGAGATTTAAAGAATGCGTAGCATCTTAATATTTCCACCGGAAGTACGGTTCGTTCAAACTGGAAGTTGTCTAAAAATGAGTACTTTCATGGATGATTACTGCATGCTTGATGTAGAATTGAAAGTAGATTTGAGCACATAAGGTCGCACCGGAAGTGGATGAGTAGAAACGGAAGTTGATTGGAATTGATAGATCATACATTTCTTTGTGTTTCTATACATATTTTGAAGAATTCTTTGACATTTTTTATCCTATCAATGGAATTATCCCAACACAGGTCTTATTCCATCAGATATCGGACGGAAGACCTACTCGTTGCTTGCAACAAGATCGCATCTAGTATTCTTACTATTATCGTATTGACCAAATTTTGGAAATGACCTTTGTCCGGTCCATTTCTCCAGAACAGCTTAAGATATGAAAGTTAACTGTGTCAGATATCATAGATCATGACTTGGAAAATGTGTCCATGAGCATTTTTTCCATCGTCAATACTTCCGGTCGTCACAGAAAAGGGAATAAAAACTCGATTTTGAACATTTCTTTGTCTTTCTTTCTTTTTTTTCTGTGATATTCATGGTGAAAGTTAAAGCCCCTTTTTGATGATTTTACATATAAACAGTTTCTTGATTTGATTAAGAAGGAATTAAATATCTTTGAATATCTGAGAACTTTCGCAAACGTAGGTTCAACTTTTCCATAAACACTAAAAATATTCATTTCATTTTCTCATAAATAGACTTTGCGGGGGGAAAACCCATTGTACAAGTGTGCAGGTATAGTCTTTCTCGGGATGGCGAAAGGACCTGTAGAAAAGCTTCCCTGGTTCAATGGAGACGAGATATTAGTAAATAAAATGTTTATAACATATAATATGTGTGTGCTTCTTATTCCCCCCCCCCCCCATTTCTTTTTTGTCAACTGTAAAAGACATATTCCCTCCACCCCACCCCACCTTTCTCACTTATTGAAATGAATGCTAATTTCGCTTTAATGTTTTTACATTCTACATAAAATGACCTTGACATTTATATGACAAGACACTCTTCTTGAAGTTTAGAAAATGATAAGGCTTTATTCTTTCTACAAAAATAATGGTAATTTACAAGTCGCAGATATAACATTTACAACTTACAGGTAATGTTTTAAAAGTTTCATTCATAAAATTCAGTTCCCCTGATGTTATTTGATATTTTGCTATCATTCATTTTACTTCTGTTTTGTCTCTAGAATTTATAATAATTTTATTTAGAATTATTTCATATTAAAAAATAACGACTGTCAGCTGCATTTATTAGCATTTCCCGTTTTCTTGTATATGTATTACTTTCATATTAATAGTTTCATTAGATAATATAAAGAAAAATAGAAACTTAATTTCCATCATTTTTATTCATTCATAAATCCTTTTCTTTTTCTGGATCCGTTCCTGCGGCTGCTCGAAGCCCTCATCACCACAGTAAACAAAACATTCATCACGCCGAAAATGTTCATGATTCCGCTAAACTAAGAAAGTTAACACATGATTTATCATTTCATAACAAACATCAGCCCTGTCTAATGCAGAAGTGCTCGAATTGAAGGGGAAAATTCAGGAATTATTTTGTTTCAGCCATATTTTG